CTGGTTTATTTCAGTAGTACATTCAGGGGTTTTAAATTTGGATTCCATGAATAGGCCTCAGAGGATCTAAGAATACCCTCAGAACTGCATGCAGTTTTTTTGTACATGTGCATTTCTCGGGACAGGTCCATTGGATGATTCCATGGGAAAGAATGTAAGAGATAGAATGAGAGAATATGACAATTTAAATGAGTCAGTTACACTGATTTCTCTTCTTTCCAGGCCTGCTCTAAGTTCTGAGTAGCGAGGCACATAAGACATCAAGAAAGAACAAGTGACAGCAGTCAGTTCAGCTTGGCAGTCAGACAGGACAGTCCAGTGGCTATAGGTCAGAGGCTTTCCAGCATCAGAGCCATGTCTTAATGTCCCGCAGAAGCTCAGGAGAAAGCTGGGGCATCTCTAGGGAGGTGTCCTTCTAAGGCCTCTGGACCCATTTGTTCATATGCTTCCAAAGGACTTGGAGGGAAATGAAAGTTTAATTGGCAAAAATCCCGAGCCAGCCAATGAGGCAATGTCCCCAGAAAAAGGTTAAAAATATTCCTCCAACTACACTTTTACCCTCTCATCTTTGTTCTCTAGTCCTTCTTCCACTCTACCACCAGATTTAGTTTTTAAACGTATATCTCATTGTGCACTCTCCCTGATTAAAAATCTCAGGGTTTTTATAAAACAAATTAAAAACTCCTGGGCATGGTGTCAAGGCCTTCCATAGTTGAGAGTCTCCAGGCACTCCTCTCCCCTCCCCTCCAAGACTGTAGCCACAACAGGTTACTACTGGCTGTTTTGAAAGGACAGCTTCGATGTCCATACCTCTATGCCTTTGATCATGCTAGTTTCCCTCGTTAGGTGCCATTTCCTCTCCTGTGCCAATCATGAACCTCCTGCTATCTGTCCTTCAAGGCCTACACTAAATATTATTTCTTCCCACGTCCATCCCTAATTTTCTGCCATCACACTGGCAGAAGTCAGTCTCTCATGGCCAGATTCCAAAAACATTTCATACATATCTCTGATAATGTCATATTGTATTGTAGATAACCTATTTTTATTTCTGTCTTTCCTACTAAACCAGAAATGCCCTGCAGGTAGGGACTGCCTTTTTCATGTTTGTATCCCTAACACCTAGTTTCATGCCTAGTCCAAACAGGAGCTTAATACACTTTTGTTGAATAGAATTACTTGCGAAGAGTTTTTATGACTCATTTAAAATTAGAGACCAATGCTTATGTAATAAGTCAGAATAGGCTATAATAATAGTAGTAATAACAAAGTCCCATTTCCACTGCTTATTCAAGTAACTGCTTCCTTTGTGGAAGTGGATTTTGAAAATCTTCACATGTCAATGTATATTTTTGATGTGCTTTCTTGAGATCCTGAAAGAATTATAGTTCTAATGCAGACTAGAGCTTCTATGACATTCCTGTTGGTGTCATATTGAGTAGATTCTGTCATTTCAGAGATCTGTATGAAATACAGTAAGTTCCATGGATATGCATTTTATCTCTTTCAGACTTCATGGTAATATTTTGTGAATTGTTTATAAAGTCTGAGTTCATTTAATTCAAACCACATTAAATTGAGCACTTTCCACAGACGAAAACAGAGTTATGGAGTTAAGACTGTAGCACAGACAGTCCCCAACTTACGATGGTTTGACTTAATGATTTTTTGACTTTATGATGGTGTGAAAGCGATATGCATTCAGTAGAAACCATGTTTCAGATTTTGAATTTTGGTCTTCCTGGGCTAGAAATAGCACAATACTCTCTCATGATTCTGGGCAGTAGCACCCACCGCTCCCAGTTGGCCGTGCTATCACAAGAGTGGTCTTCAACTTACAATGGGTTTATCAGGAGGTAACCTCATCATAAGTTGAGGAGGGTCTATGTTATATATTATATAGTTCTGCTAAATTTGCAAAGTCCCAGTCACTGTAAATATGTTTTTAGGTATTCACATAAGTTCAGTTATGAAAGTAAACACTTCCATAAATGAACTTCAAATAATTTTTTTAAATCTTATTTTTTTTAAAGATTTTATTTATTTGTCAGAGAGAGAGTGAGAGAGGGAGCACAAGCAGGGGGAGCGGCAGGCAGAGGGAGAGGGAGAAGCAGGCTCCCCATTGAGCAAGGAGCCCGATGCGGGACTTGATCCCAGGACGCTGGGATCATGACCAGAGCCGAAGGCAGACGCTTAACTGACTAAGCCACCCAGTCATCCCTCAAATAATTTTTTTAAATGGTCTTCTCTCCCTCATTTTCTTTTGAGTTTTGTAGGAAAGGAATCAACAACAATTTACTTATTTAGCCATTTACTGAGTACACATTATATGCTAGACATTATGGTGGATGTTTGCAATTCCAGCTTGATGAGATAGCACCTGCCCTTGAATAGTTCATGGTCTAATGGAGAAGGTATATAAACAAATAATTGCAACTTAAACCTTGGGGAAAAGGAAAGAAACTCCTTTGAGAAGCCATGGTGAGGTTGAGAATGGATGTGTCTGCAGATGAATTTGTGGTTAGAGAAGCAATGAGCTAAAGGGATTTCATACCTGATAGTCTTTTTTTTTTTTTTTTAATATGTGAAGTATGAATCTAGATCTTTTCTGTGAGTTAAACGGATGGGGTAGGGGCACCTGGGTGGCTCAGTTGGTTAAGCGGCTGCCTTCGGTTCAGGTCATGATCTTAGGGTCCTGGGATCGAGCCCCGCATCAGGCTCCTTGATCAGCGGGGAATCCGCTGCTTCCTCTCCCTCTGCTGTTTCCCCCACTTGTCTCTCTGGCTCTCTCTCTCTCTCTGTCAAATAAATAAATAAAATCTAAAACAAACAAACAAACAAAACCGCATGGGGTAGCACTTGAGAAGAGAAGAACAATTAATTGGATAATTAATGCAGAGAATGGGAGGTGGACTGACGGAAACCAGTAAAGGGTGGCATGCAGTATTGAGAAGCAGTGAGCGTGGAACTGAAATTGGATAATAGGAAATTGTGAGAGTATCAGTCAGGACAGTGGTGTAATTTTCTCTGGTTATGCTCTTTGGCCAACGTGAAGGTGCAGTAAAGCCATTCAGTGGCCAGGCCTGTGGGATGGGTAGAACAGAAGTGTAAGAAGGCTAGGGAATTGAAAGAGAGTATAGCTTAATGTGGAAGGAAGTACCATTAGGAGGAAGTTGATAAACTTGGATAAAGTTAAGAAATTAGAGGATGAGGATAAGGCCTAGTACTTTGTAGGTCCTGGTCCTCAGCAAGTCTTCATTTTCTCCTTTTTGGCTCCCCTTTCCTCTGCCTTGTTTTACCACCACCATGACCACCTACCTCTGCTGTGGTTTATATGAATAGTTTCAAGTCATGATGGTAGCAGTTGGCTCGGAGGATAAGATTAGCCAGGTTCCCAAGTCTTCATCAAAAGTGCCCCAGTGGTTTGGATGCTAGCAGTGCCTCATGATGTTGGCCTCTAGGAGAAGCTCAGGGCTTACCCCCTTATCTCACTACTCCTTGTACTCCAAGAGTGGATCAAGGGCAAAGATATTTTATTGGCCATGGTTCTCAGGACAGGAATTTACTCTGTGATGAGAAGGGTTAAGACTCTAAGCCTTCAAGGGTTTCCACTAAGTTCCCCTTGTCTCTACAAATCTAACCATAAGCACGCATCTCATTACTTTCAAGGATTTAAAAGGGAGTCTTTTTTTGACATATACAAGCAGTGACCATACTGGCAACCCAAAGGGTCTTCCTACTCAGAATCTAAAATATCTAGTAGAGTTGGTTGTACCTTGTGATTTCTTTTATGTGAGTTATTAAATGTATTGTCATAATTTTTTTTGAAGAAACAGTTTTTAAGGCTTTCATTCCAAATGAGGGCAAACTATTATACATGGAAACACTATATTGCATTTCCAGAAATTTTCTTTTTCACCTGTACTTTTGAGTGTAACACCTAAATCTAATAAATCATTATTTCACAGAATGCTTTTTTTGGTGTAATATAAGGAAAAAACTCATAAGAAAAGAGTCATGCATCCTAAGTGTGAAACTGCAAGAAAAGTGAGAATTCCTAGAGTTAGTAAACTGAAACCACAGGTCATCGGAATCTTAGAAATGAAGTAAATGCTCATGAAGAGTTGGCTAAAGAAATTCTGGGGAGTCTAAATCACCAATCTTGCTTTTTCCCTGTTGTTACTGATACCTTTTAAGGCATTTAGCAATGCTTGCCTGGAAAAGAATTGAATACTGTTCTTCTGAAACTTCATCTTCATCTGGGTGGTGCTGAGACAAGCGTGTGCCTCCCTTGGCATTAGTCACATGAAGTAGGACATTCAACTTTATCCACTAAGTTGTAACATCCATCTGGATCCTTCTGGATTGCTCTCTACCAGCCAGCTCAAAACATGTTTGCCCGTTCTTCAAGGGCTTGTGTTGACAGGTAGACCTGTAATTTCTATGACTAAGATATGGTTTCCATAGCCTACCGTATCATAATAGATTTGTGTTGAGTTAAATTTGCCTAAAAGCAGATCTCTTTTATTCTTTGACTTTAAAGTAAAAAATAATGGAAAATAAGTAATACTTCCTAATTAGGTATTTAGGTCAGAGAGACATCTTCAGAGTTAAAAGTATTCTAAATGATAGTTCGAATATACTTTTCCAAAGACCTTTAATTGGCAGCTTTCACACTCAAATATTGGTACTTGTGTAGGAATTTTTTTCGGATTTTCTATTTAAAAAAAGAGTTTTAGGGGCACCTGGCTGGCTCAGTCAGTAGAGCATGCGACTCTTGATCTCCAGGTCATGAGTTCAAACCCCATGTTGGGTGTGGAGCCTACTTAAAAAGAGCTTTAGTTCATTCTTGTTCGGCTCATGGCACTTGGATATTATATGTTAATGACATGACTATAGTTTTCCTAACAGGCATATGAAGAAGAAAGAAAATTTTCCTTTAGATGGAAATTTTCCTTTGGATTTTAGTTGTTATAAGACTGTTTTCTTTTCCTTTTTAGGTTGCAAACATGTTAAAGGCATCCTGTTATATGGGCCCCCAGGTTGTGGTAAGACTCTCTTGGCTCGACAGATTGGCAAGATGTTGAATGCAAGGGAGCCCAAAGTGGTCAATGGGCCAGAAATCCTTAACAAATATGTGGGAGAATCAGAGGCTAACATTCGTAAACTCTTTGCTGATGCTGAAGAGGAGCAAAGGAGGGTAATGTTAATATAAGTATAATTCAGTAAAAGTTTGTTTTCATTTATACAATGAATGAAACCCAAAGCTATGGTGGAAAACTTGTTACTGTGATCCATGTTTTGAAAAACATGCAGGTAAAATTTATTTAGTATTGAATTATAACACTGAACCAGGAATTATAGGGAATTTACATGATGTGAACAGATGTCATTACCCACATGTACATAATACAAAGATAGATGATTGTATAAGCCCAAGTTTTGCAAAAACAGATCATGAATTTATTTCCAGGCGTCACTTTTATTCCACGTTACTTTCAGAGACTTGAACTCATTTATCCTTTGGAAAAGGGGGGAATTAAATTTGTAAAATGACTTGTAGAATTATCTATATGTAAGTTTCATGAGCAGAAAGCTAGTTTACTTACCACTGAGTCTCCTCACTTGTAGAGTGACAGGTATGAGTTGTTAGGTCTCAGAGGAAAGTTTGATGTGGGTCTTAGAAAAAAATTAATTAAAAGTCAAACCAGAGTTTACTAATTGTTATGGTTAATTTTATGTGTCAGTTTGGGCCTCAGGGTGCCCACACATTTGGTTAAACATTATTCTGGGTGTGTTTGTGAGGATATTTCTGGACGAGATTACTATTTGCATTGGTAGACTGAGTAAAGCAATTGCCCTCCCTAATATGGGTGGGCCCCATTCAATCAGTTGAAAGTCTGACTAGAACAAAAGGGCTACTCCTCCCCTGACTAAGGGAATTTCCTACTGCCTGACTGCTTTTATCTGGGCCATCAGTTCTTCCCTGCCTTTATACTCAGACTGAAACTGCAGCCCTTCTTGTGTCTCCAGCTTGCCAACTGCAGATATGGGGACTTGTCAAGCCCCATAATTGGGTTACCCAATTCCTTATAATTAATCTTTCTGTAGATAGATATAGATTTAGATCCATATAGATCTGTGTGTGTATGTATGTGTATTTTCAGGTGTCTAATAGGATGGATCTATAGATCCATCTTATTGATTACATTTCTCTGGAAAACCCTCATACACTAATACTAACATATTTATTTCATTGACAAAAGTTTAAAAACAATGCCATAGGATTTCTGCTTCTAGCAATACAGTAGACTAGGTAACCTGAAAACCTGTCTTCCATAAACACCTTCAAATGCTGGATAAACTATAACTAAAATCATTTTAAATGCATAATTTAGTTCTCAAGAAAGAAAAGGAGAGCTCCAGAAATGAAAAGAAAACTCAGAAAATTAGACTGGTAAAGATAAGAGCTGCAGCTTTTGGTTTTGGTAATGTATGAGTTTGGGTTTTAGTACCCACTAGCAGGCCCTTGAACTCACTTAAGATGTGGACTAGGAACTGGAACCTTCAAAGGGGTTGTGTCCTCACTGAAAAGAATGGTCTAGAAATTGTCTGCTCACCAGCACAAAGAAATAACAAAAACATTTAACCATCTGTCTGAGTTCTGCAGTGGGAGCTATAGAATCTCTCATGGGAATTCTGAACTATGGATTCTTAACTCATGCTTAGGATTTGAAAACACACGCACACACACACCACCACCACCACCACCCCTGACCTTTGTGGTCAGGGGCCCCCATGCTGAGAAACTGATTTAAAAATGAATCCTGGACTAATGATAGCATGGGGTTGATAGTTATTAGCAAACCCCTGGGGAGGAGGAGAATGGAGGCCCAGAAAAAAAGGTCCTGGTGTGTAGGGTCACCATTCCTTTGGAGATATTAGCCATTTCTGGAGGGAACTGCTAAACAGCTATGTGGCCCTTTTGACAGGCCAGTGGGAGTAAGGGGCCAGAGGTTAAAATGCATGGCTCATGAGGAGAGGACACCTGATGAACATGCCTCTGTTTGAGTTGGGATTCTGGAAGGCTGCACAATAGAAGCAGGGGTTAATCAGAAGTAGACATGCTCTCACAGAGGCCAGCTTTGAATCACATCTAATTTCTCTAAAATTCAATTGAAGGTTCCTAAATGACTAGTGCCCCTCGGCATCCATCAGAATTATAGATCCTTCCTGGAGGAAGGTAGTATCATGCAAGGCCACAAATTATTTCTATAGTTTGCAAATGAGATGCCTGGTTATAATCAAAAGCAATCAGGTATACAAAGACATAGGCAACTTGAAGAAAGAGAAACAAAAGTGATAGAAATTGGGCCTCCAGATATTGGAATTCTCAGATACAGACTTAAAATAACTACACTTATCACATTCAGAGGGAAATAAGATTTGAGAATTTTGGCCGAGCAGTGAAAACTGAAAAACAAAATCAAATGGAAATTCTGGGAATGAGAAATTCAGCAACTGAAATTAACTCAGGTAGATGGATTTAAATAGCAGATTAGACACATCTGAAGAGAGAATTGGTGCACTGAAAGATGTTAGACAAAAATAACCAGAGACAAAGGATGAAAGCAATGAAAGTGATAGAAAATACCAACACAAATGATGATGGAAACCAGAAATCCATTGAATGCTATTTCTAAGAAGCTGAAAGAGAAGAACTGTTAAGTTAGAACTTTGTATCCAGTAAATGGGTAAATTGTCATGTAAATATACAATGAAGTATTACAGAGTAATAAGAAATAAACGGACTATGGTTATACATAGCTGTGAATCTTACAAATAAATGTTGAGCAAAAGAAACCAGACAAGGGGGGGCGCCTGGGTGGCTCAGTTGGTTAAGCGACTGCCTTCGGCTCAGGTCATGATCCTGGAGTCCCAGGATCGAGTCCCGCATCGGGCTCCCTGCTCGGCAGGGAGTCTGCTTCTCCCTCTGACCCTCCCCCCTCTCATGCTCTCTCTCTCTATCTCATTCTCTCTCTCAAATAAATAAAATCTTTAAAAAAAAAAAAAAAAGAAACCAGACAAGAAAGAATATGTACTGTATGATTCCATTTATATAAGGTTCAACTAAAATATAATGTTTAATGATACATGCTTAGGTGGTAAACTCTAAAGAAGAGTGAGAAGTAGTTTCCATAAAAAACCAGATTGGGGTTGCCTATGGGGAATAATGGGGAGGGATATTGGGGAAGAGTTGTGAGGACATGCGCCCACGATGCTGGCACTGTTCTATTTCTTGTTACCTTATATGGATGTTCATTTTATGACCGTTCCTTGAAACATGCATTCATATTTTGTGAACTTCCCCTCTCTGTATGCTGTAGTTCACCATAAAAAAAGTTTAAAAGAAATAGACAATAATCACTGCATGGGAGAACAATAATAGTCATCAATATGGGTTTTTGTTTTGTTTTTTTTTAAGGATAGAACTAAAATATGGAACAAAACATAGGGGAAGTGGATTAAGTCTATGTAAGATCTTTGCATTATTTGGGAAGAAGATAATACTGTTAATTAACATCAAACTTTAAGTTAGGTGTGTATGTGAAAATTGTGTATAACTTTCATGCTTTTCCAAAGCATGAGGAGGAGCTGGGAAAGGAATAAAACTCAAATTCTTTAGAAGACAAGATTCAAAGAAAATGTGAAGATACGGAAAATGTAACTTTAAAAAAAAAGAATTTCACTTATATCAACAGTCAAAATGATAAGGTACCTAGAATTAAATCTTAACAGGAAAATTAAGGGAGAAAATTATAAACATTTTTGAGAATCTTTTTTCAAGAGCTAATAAATGATAAACCATGTTTATGTGTGGGAATACTGACAATATTGTAAAATGACAGTTCTGCCCATATTAATTTATAAATTTATGCTTTTTCAATCAAGTCTAATGGGACTTTTTTGGAATTTGACAACTTGTTTTTTTTTTTTTGGATACTTGAAGAGCCATGAAAATTTTGGAAAATTACGAAGACTTATTTCATATCATGATTTACTGGAAAGCTGTAGTATTGAGATCGTTATATATTCTTGCATAAACAGACCAAGGAAACAGAATAGAACACAGGAGGAACTTGCTATTTGGAAAGTGACAATGTAAATCAAAGGAGAAAGAATATTCCATGAATCAGGATGAGATCATCAGTTTTCTGTTTCATAAAAATAAAATACAGTCCTTATCATATCCTACAGAATAACAGAATGGATTTACAAAAAACTAAAACTAAAATTTACCAGAGAAAATATTTTTAGAAGAAATGTAGGCAAAAAGCCTTAAGAATTGAGGCTAGAGAAGAATTTCTTAAAAAAAGGGGGGGGAGGGAGTATTTATTTATTTATTTATTTATTAAAAGATTTTATTTATTTATTTGACAGAGAGAGAGAGAGAGCACAAGCAGGGGAACTGCAGGCAGAGGGAGAAGCAGGCTCCCTGCTAAGCAGGGAGCCCAATATGGAGCTCGATCCCAGGACCCTAGGATCATGACCTGAGCCAAAGGCAGCTGCTTAACCCACTGAACCACCCAGGCGCCCTATTTATTTATTTATTTACTTACTTACTTACTTACTTACTTACTCACTCACTCACTCACTCACTCACTTACTGTCACCCAGGCACCCCAAGAAGAATTTCTTTATTAAGATACAGTAATCAAATCCATAAAAGAAAAAAAAAATGTTAATTTGGTTACATTAATATAATATGAAGAAAACTCCCTCTGACAAATTACACACAATACAGATGTCTCAAACTGGAGAGGATATTTGCAATGCATATAATCCACAAAGAATTGATGTTTTATAAATTCTCCGTAATAACTCCTTTATAATAAGTACAAAAAAGACAAACACCACAATTAAAAATAACAACTAGCAGGGGCACCAGGGTGTCTCAGTCAGTTGAGTGTCTGACTTGGTTTTGGCTCAGATCATGATCTCAGGTCTCTGTCCTCAGCCACATTGGTTCTAAAAGGCATGGGTCCTGGTGGATTGGTACAAGTCCAGTAATCACAAGTCCAGTAACTCTTCAGACGGTCCCAGAACCATTCAATTTTACTGTTCATCCCTATTACTACAATATTTTCTCCTTCAAAAATCTTAACACTCAGTGTACCAAGAAAAATTGTCACCACCATT